ACTATACACAGTAGATGTGTTTTACTGAAGACTGATTTCTACCTATAAACAAGTATAATAGTATGGTTGAGAAATGGGGTATTTTGCAAGGTACCTTGAAGGTTTACTTTGAGAAGGAATTTGAACTTTTTTCTATTCACAGAAGGGAGAATTAACCATTGCTAACAAAATAATCTACTGGCAAAACTCAACTATGTATTTATCAGCACAAGAAAGTGGCAATTACTAGTAATCTGCACAATGTGATATAATTAGATTTATTTTTTCTGCTTTTTAAACCACACTTATTTAACAAACTTGGGCAAGTATCAAAAGAAGACACAGAAAATAGTAATATTAAATGTCTCCTATGTTCCATGTGCTTTTAAAGTTCAAAGTAACTACATTCTGTATCTGAAAAGTGCATTGCATTGAGAGAGCTATAACAAGAGTGGGGAGTTAATAAAAATAAAGTCTCAAAGACTTTAATTTAATTAAAGGTTTAAGTAGAGGTTGTTTTTTATTTAAACATGTTAAATGTTTAAACATTTGCTCTTAATTTAGTAGTGGAGTCCAAGTATTGTAGAGAGGGCACTTGGGTTATCTCTGCATGTATGGAAAGATGCTGCTTAGCATAAAGTTGGTTGGTTTATTCTGACAAATTAATATGCATGTAGTAAAATGATAGCTATGTGCATTCTTAATTAATCTTGATATAGATAACTACTAATAAAATAACCACCTACTAAAAAATAAATGCATCACTATTTGTAACCCATTAAAATATTAATAAAAATTAAAGTGCAGCTAAATAATTATCCAGAGATGTATTTTTTTGTTAGCAACATTTTTGGTATGATAGTTGTATTTGCAAATTGATTTTCATTATAGTTAGTAATCAGGCAGCATAAATTTTCATTAGAGGAAGAAAAAGCTACTGCTGGAAAAACAGGGATCTGTTTAGGTGAAGGCAACTTCTGGCCGTTTCCTCTTGTCCTTTTGCTTGTTACCTGGGGGAAGGGACTGAATCCCACCTGGCTGCACCCTCCTTTCAGGCAGCTGTAGAGCATGATAAGGTCACCCCTGAGCCTCCTCTTCTCCAGGAGGAAAGCTCCCTCAGCTTCTCCTCATCAGACTTCCCCAGCTCCACTGCCCTTCTCTGGACTCTCTCCAGCACCTCGATGCCCTTCCTGAATTGAGGGTCCCTGAACCCAGAGAACTGAACCCAGAACTCAAGGTGTGGCCTCAGCAGTGCTGAGTGCAGGGTTCTGGTCACTGCCCTGGTCCTGCTGGCCACTCCATTGCTGCTCCAGGCCAGGATGCCATTGGCCTCTTGGCCCCCTGGGCACTCTCTGGCTCATGTTCAGCTGCTGTTGAGCAGCACCCCCAGCACCTTTTCCTGCAGGCATCTCCCAGCCCCTCTGCCCAGCCTGGAGCTGCAGGGGTTGTTGTGACCCAAGGGCAGGAGCAGGCGCAGGCACTTGGCCTTGTTGGAGCTCAGAGCTCTGGCCTCTGCCATCAGTGCAGCCTGGCCAGATCCCCCTGCAGAGCCTTCCTGCCCTCCAGCAGCTCAACACTCCCACCCAGCTCGGTGTCTGCAGCCCTGGGTGCCCTCATGTGGATCTTGATAAAGACATTAAACAGACCTGGTGCCAGCCCTGAGCCCTGGGGAGCACTGCTGGATGGAATTCCATTCACCAGCAGCCTCTGGGCCCGGCCATGGCTACAGTTTCCTACCCATCCAAGAGAGCACCCGGGCAGGCCATGAGCAGCCAGTTCCTGCAGGAGATGCTGTGGGAAATGGTGGCAAAGGCTTTCCTGAAGTCTGGGTAGGCACATCCACAGCCTTTCACCCATCCAAGTGGGTCATCTTATCATAGAAAAAGAGCTCAGGTCAGTCAAGCAGGACCTGTCTTTCACAAACCTGTGCTGGCTGGGCCTGATCCCCTGGTTGTCCTGTACGTGCTGTGTGATGGCACGCAAGAGGATCTGCTCCATGACCTTCCCTGGCACCAAGATCAGACTGACAGACCCTGGATCTTCCTTCTGCATCTTCTTCTAGATAGGCATTACATTTTCTAATGTTCAGTCAACTAGCATCTCTTCTATACCCAGTACAACCCAGGCCTGTATTTCACTCAAATATGAAAATCTTTCCATGAAGGATATTAAAATACACCTTATGAGTACTTTGAGTTCATGTACTTTACATTTTCCTTCTTTTCCTGCTTCTGATGTTCAGGGGCCAACTAGCCAATACCCTCTTTTGTGGCTTTTTATAGCTAAACAACTTAAGTCTCCTGCCAGGTTAATTGCTTTCAACTTTTATATTATATGGATTACAGGCTGAAGACTAGAGTTCTGTGGGAAAAACACATTCAGAATACTGTGGTTCCTGCTTTATTGCAATAGTTAACCTCAGAATAATGTACCCTTTTCTGCTGGGAATAATAACAAGTAATTACTCAGTAGCCTTTATTATTACTAACTGAATTATAGCTGAATAACTTAGTAGTAGTTTAATTCATTACATACACTAATGGTTACCCATGCATTCATGTTTTTTAAAATGAAAAATAATTATTACATTACATCGTATTTTCAATTTGTGATGAAGGCAACTGAATTTGTACTTCTTTTTTGATTTTAACTTCTATTATCAGCTCTTCATCTTGAACTATTAAATATAGGCCTGGAAACAAAACCAATTTCTGACTGTAGAGCACAAAGGGTTTCTACCACTACCTCCACAATTCAATTTGAAAATTAGTGGAGTACTGGTATCAAGTGTAGCATTAAGAGAAATTAATCAGTTTATAATATTTGTTTCCTTTAATAGACTTCAGTACATTAAAACTTTTCAGTGATGGAGTGGTGGGAAATCAATTTCAACAGAAAAAAAATCTGAAAGCAGGCAAAGAAAACTGCTGTAATACTTGAATTCTCTACTATCTTCAGTACTGTGTGAGGTGATGGTGTATCAGGACTTATATTTGTTAAAACTGACTCTCCAAAAGCCAGTGTTGAGAAGGAACTGCAGTGTCTGCAGTGGTGTCCCTAAAGCTCTCTTCTGAGAGAGCTAGTCTAGAAAAAATGTTGATTTATAAACCTTAAAGAAGCACCCCCATCCTTTCATTCATTACTGAGTAGAGAGGATAATAGAGAAATATGTCACTTTTTATCACAGACATCAGTAATTTTTCTGGTTCGTTGTACAAGCCTAGAAATATGTAGAAAGAAGTGCAAAAGATTTATTTCTCCTACATGTCATAATTAAGGTTTTCATTCTAATAAGCCCTCGTAGAGCTGTGCACTTTTTGGTGATTTACTGTCATTCCTGCTACTCCTGAGTATTTCTGTTGAACTAAGTAACCTTGTGGGAAAATGGTTTTATTTCATGTTAAATTGATTTCAGAAAGCACCCCACAGTTGGGATAAATTAAACAATGCTTGAAGCCCTGTTGAAATCAATGGATCTCCAAAATACAGAGACATAATTGTCAAGTGTCTTCTTAAACTCGGGGCTATAGTTACCCTAATTTCTTGGTTGAGGTTATTACTTCATAGTAATTACTGACCAGGGGTTTAATCTGCATGTCCTGCTCATTCTGAAAATCTCCAAATAAAACGTAGGTCCTGCAAAAACAAGTTTGTGTGGGTTTGGTACCTGAATGTGGTAGATGAAGCGTATTGGTAATTACTCTCACAGAGCATCATCGTTCTTCTAGTGCAAATCCATTTTGTGACTTAGTTCACAGTGCCTTACCACACCACACAAACATTCATTCTGTAGCTCTTGGAGCTGAACTTCTGCTGTTTAGGAATATTCAATGCTTGCATTTATATATAAAAATTTAATATTCATTATCTTTGAAAGTAAAATGGCTTTTCACCTAGCAGGGAGAACATTATGCTCTGTGAATGTGGAAAGAAGGGAGGTATATTTCCATTTAACAAGAGCTGTTTGTGCAGCATGGTACAATGAGGAAGGATAGCAGGAGCTGGGGTTTTCTGCTACAAGTAGGGATATACCAGATGGTTACTGCAAGTTTGTTTCATAAACATATAAACATAGAAGTGTTCCAGTAGTCTATCATAAACTTGTTGAACCTTTCCAGATTATGTTCATATTTATGGAAATGCACAGGGGGTCCAAAACATCATTGTTTTCTCATGGCTGTGTTGCTGCTCTTACTGCTTTTTTTGTGCAAGTGTATAACAATTGGCATAAATTCTTATTGGTAAAGAAGGATGTTTCCAGGCAAAAAAGTTGTTATACTTAGTCTATTTTTTTCTTGGTTTTTATAATTGTAAAGAAATCTAACCTAAATACTATTTATTCTCTGAAAAAAGCAGAAGGCTTCTCATGCTTCTGTTGAAGCACCAATAATTTTAAACTTCACTCTAAAAATAGTCCTTAATCCCTCTTCTAAATGCCATATAGTCGTTAACTAATTTTCTCCTCTTGAGACAGTATGGAGGTAGGCTTATTCTACCAAAGGAGGTATTGTACAATATTATTTGCTTAACTCTATGGAATAGCTCTGGTACTAGAACTCAGAAATGTAACTGTGGTCTTGGTTATGTACCAGATCACACTGTCTCAAGAGCAAATACTGCTAATGTTAAAGTGAAACTATAACTATGAATGGATCATCTCTTTATAATTATTGTGGTGTAATGCAGTGTTCCTTCTAGATTTTTAATTACTGTATGTTTTCTTCCCCAAAGCTGATAATATGTGTGTATCTATGTCCAATAAATTCTCATTAAATGTTGAGGATGAGTTTTGAACCACTGATGAGCAATACCTTCCTTCTCAAATGTGCTATTCTTCTTTATTTTTGAAGTGTTTTCTCAAGATAACGTAGTCTGTGAATACATGCTTTTCAGAATTCAGCTTGGTGCAGATGTATTGAAAAGTACTTTAAAATAAGTGTAAATTGTTTATATGTGCTCCAAATAAAAGTTACATACTTTTGTCTGACTTGATGCTCTTTTTGTTTTAAATCAATTGACAGAATTCATTGACAAGAAGTGCACCCCTTGCCAATGATTCCCAAGCACGCAGCGGTGCCCGCTTTCATACGTCGTACGACAAAAGATATATCATCAAAACTATAACAAGTGAAGATGTAGCAGAAATGCACAACATACTCAAGAAGTACCATCAGGTAATAAATTAACTCTACCAAGGTGTGAGATGTCTTCTTAAATATTAGAATGCCAATCTTTTTTAGAGGCTTAAAGTTTCAAATTAGTAATTATGGAAAAGTCACTTCAGATTTTTTTCCCCTTTTGCATCAGCAATTTACGGTGTGTCTGTAATTCACAAGGATGGACTTTTCTAAATATCTGCACTAGCATTTCATAAAAAAGAAATGTCTACATGATAGAGGTGACTTGGAGGCTATAAGGTCCTTTGCCTTACTAGAAAGGGGGTCTTTCTTTTGGCTGGTGGACTCCCAACTTGAAGGTATTTTATTCTGGGCTAGCTTGCAGATGTCTGTGTACATGTGTATGAGTGCTGCAGGTGACCTTCTCTTGCTGATTTGGTTAGTGAATATTCTGTGTTTCACAACAGATTTCAAAGATTAACATTGTATTATATAAAAAATTTAAAAATGGATCTGATTAATGTAAAAATGCTACTATTAAAAAAAAACTTGTTTTGATAATGTGAATTTTCATACACAACTGTAAAATTAAAAGTGAACAGAAGAGATCCCTCAAATCAGCCTTGGTAGCTGCCGTACTGTGCTGGTGCGTAGTTTGTGTGGCTGGCACAGAGGGGAGCAGCACCTGGGAATTACAAAAGGCTTTAATAAAATCAGTGCTAGTTTTCTTAGCCCTACATCTGTTTGAATAAGTTCTAAAGCTACAGAAGTCAGAAAAGCCTCTAAAAAATCACCTAAAATATGCTATGCAATAGGAAGGGGGTTTTGTCCCTCTTTTCATCTTCCTTCTCCTTTCTGTGGGTTGGAACTCCAGGTAAAGAATGAAGGACATTTGGGGTTGGGCTTTTTTATTGTTGTTTAGGTGGTTGGTTTGTTGCTGTGCAATGTTCTTGTTTGTAGTAGATTTTTTTTTTAATACATTACTTTTGTAAAACCAGTCTTAACTTCTGAGTTGGGAAGCCAAAGCTTTCTTTCAGGGTACTTGGAACTGAAGATATTGCAGGCCATTTTTGTAAACCTCAAAGGGAGATCTCTGAAGGCCTTCCAAGTCCAGAGTAACTTGGGAAGCCTTCAGGATGTTAGATATGAACTCTTTTCTCTCCTCCTGTGGTGTTCCTCTGTTTAAATAACACCATTGTAGGACCATTGCGTGCTTGTTTTAATGTGAATAAATATTACTATCAGAAAGTTTAAGACATTCACCTAATGACAGTTTTGCCACAAAAAAAAATTAATTTAAATCTAATTGTATTTTGGGGTTTATTTTTATGTGAGTGTTCCAACTTCCTTTAGGACAAAAACTAAAATAGTATTTGATCTGTGAAACTGTACAGCAGAATTAACATTTTAGTCTGTTTCATATTGGGCATTAGAAACTAGTATTAATGATACAGATTTTGAGACTTAATCCAGTTGAAAAGTCATTTTGCTTTTCATAACAGAAATCTTTCAAGAGTATCAGTGAAGACTGTGCTAACATTAATGAATTTAATAATTTGGAATCTTTTTCATTAATGCTTTCTGACATCAGGGTTCATATTAGGCTAGGTTACAGGGAATAATGATCTGAAATTTGTCTCTACCAGGCACCTAATTTCACTTTATACTGGAAAATCTTTCATGTAAAATAGCTCTCACTGATGCCTCCAAGAGATTCATAAAGATACAAGTTTTATTTCTTTTTGTCTCAGAACTTGAAAGCACTGTACAAAGCTAAATACAGAAGCACTCAAGTACAAAGTGAGTACAAAGACAGTTTAATAATTGGATTTTTTTATTTAAATAAATTCATTTCAGTATCTTCAGCAATGTACTGAACAAGATCTAAATTAAATCCACTGGCCCTAATGACAGCTGACACCATGTCCTCTGTGCTGCTGTTGGAAGTTGAATGCTTGGGATTGCTAGATACAGCAGCTTGTCCTCCCATTTGTCTAGACATTTTTCAGGCATGCAAAGCTTATCTTCACTTCCTTTTCAAAGTCTAGCAAACCCATTGTCCTGGTGGAAAGGTATTATGATTCCCTTGACCAAGTTGTCCCACACAGATTGGCCTTAGCCAAATTGTCCCACACAGTTTGGCCTTCTGCTAGCTAACAGTGCAATGCCAGATGCATCTGCTGGCACTTGAGATCATTGGTGGTCTACTGTGGTTTTGATTGGGGCCAGCTTATTGTCACCCAAACAATTCTGGGCAAGAATAAAGGTGTTAATTGACTTAATATTCTTACTTAGGAGTTTGAATGTAAGCATCCTTTTTTTTAAGAGAGGAGCTTAATAACTTAGATGTGAGTTATTCCATTCCAGCTGGAACTGATGCCTGAGGACACTCCAAGACCTGTCTGTTTCACTGGTGTGGATGTAACTTTATGGTCCTGTAGGATGGCACAATTGCAGTAGCATAAGACTTTTCAGATGCTGTCCTGGTACTCTTGTAGAAATCTTTGTCAATAAAACAAGTTCTCATGAGTTCAGTTTTATTTTGACATACTCTCTTCTGCCAATAGAGGAATTGTCAAGTTCTCTCTATTGATTTTCATACCTTACTGTCCAGTATCTTTCTTGATTGTTAATAATGGTGCAGTAGAGTGTCAAATATGGGATTTTTAGGGAGGAGTCTGCTTGTTAGCTTTTCTCCAATGTCAGTTCTCTGATTTCCAGCAGCACTCCCCACATACGTGAAAATTCCTGGCTGAGCTGTGTTTCACAGCCTGAGTGTGATTGGGAATGGTTTGGAACTTGTAGTGGCACACCCCTGCAGCATGCCCTGTGCCAGTCTGCCCTGAGAGCAGAGCTGTATTCGAAAGGTTCAGCCTTCTGAGAAAGGCAGTGTGTACACCCAGTTAGGTAGTGGAAAGGACAGCCTTTTTCAGGTGCATGAAGTCTAGGGAAGTGGTTGGTGTGAATTTTAGGCTTTTTCTCCCTTGTTTTCCCAAAGGAGTTGAAGTTAGATCATCTGTCCATTAAGAACTGTGTTTTGTAAACCATTATCTTGCACCCTCTTTCAAGTGCCTAAGAAGGCAGTAATTACTATCCATTTCTTCTGACGTAAGTATGAGTGAAATGCATGCAATTTATGACAGACAGTCTCTTTCAGTTTTTGTTTTTTCCCCTCTGCAAATTCATTCCAGGTTCCTTTCCCTGTTTGAAACTCTGAATGAGTTTCATTTAAACCATAATATTTACTCACCTGTTTCCTTATTAAGGCTAATAGCATAAGGCTGATAGAATCATTCTAGAAAGCACCTCTGTCTTTGCTTAGGGACCACACAAGCCTTATCAAATATTTTCAAGCATAAGACTGCTTGAACTGCTTAAGAATAAATACCAGAGGAGACATCTATCTTGAAACAAAGAATGCTGGAGATGGAGCCATCACAAGGCAGAAGTGTGAGACTCCATGTGTCCTTCATTCACCAAAACAGTTTTGATCTTGGCATTTGCAAAAAAGCTGTTGTTTTCCTTGCAACTTTTTGGTTGCTCCCAGAGCTACAAATAAGGCATCTGGGAGTTTGCGTGGTTGGCAGAGAAATATAGCACAGCAGCTTTTCCCATGAACCTCCAAAATCTGATTCCAAGTATCGGTTATCTTTTTGGGAAGTCATCAAAGGGTTAGACAGACATGCAGACATGTACACTGACATTGGCAAGTAGAAGAAATGAAGATTATTTTGTTATGGACATCATGGAAATGTATAGTTCACAAGCCCATGCAGTTCTGTTAGTCCTTTCTCTCTCCATCTGTCTGGAGGTGCAATAACCTCTCTGTTCTCTGGAGCTCAGAGGAACTGAGGGTGTAATTACACAGTTCAGTATGTGTCGGAGTTTACAAAAGGAGCGGGAATAGTTCATAGCCTGTAGACTCTTGTAAGTTTAAAAATCCCAAATCTAGATTGGTGGTTTTAAATCATCAAAGATGATCTGATCAAAGATAAATTCCAAGCTCAGGGCTACATGCTAGAAATGTATAAATAGCTGAAAGTGAACTGGGCTTGAAGGAATGTTAGAAGTTATAGAAACAGCATATATGTGTTTATATAGTGATTACAATTTAAAATTGTTGAATTGTAAATAATCTCGACAATTGTAAATTATATTTGCTGTTCAAAAATCGTGGGTTTCCAAAATCATTTACCCTATGATGCCTTTTCTTAAGTGGCAGTCAGGCTCAGAACCTCAGACAGATGGTGAACACTTCAGTCTAAACACTGTCACTTTCTGTCAACTCATCAGATGAGTCTGACACTTTTAATATTGAGTAGAAACACTAGAGATAATTATTTTCATTTCCAAAGTTAAAAGGAAAAAAAAAACCCAAAACACTGAGCAAAACAAAACATTAAGCAAACAGGAGGAATTATACTTTTCACTACGTTTAAAGCAGCAAAGCTCCTGTGTTTTATGACAAGACTGTTAAAGGCCATCATGCATGGATCAGCCTTCTATCTATGTTTGAAAGACAAAATGGCCTAGAGGTAGGTTTTGAAGTGTTAGGGTAAATACAAATATATGGTGTGCTAGATTCTTATGCTGTGACTAACTATTCTAGCCAGTTTCCAACTACTGTAATAGTTTTTGGTACATAGTTTGAAATACTTCTTTTAGTCATATTTATTGATAATTTGCAATCAGTTTGGACTGCTTGTATTATTGGCATATTGTCAGTTATGACTAGAACTCTTCTCACCACTCTTCAGTGTTACTCAGCTGAATGTCAGTCACTTACTTGTCAAATGCAGTAGAACCATTCATATGTTCAAATGGGTCAGACTTTCAAGTATTAGGAAAACTACTGTTGTATGGGCTCATAGATGTAGTTGGACCATTTAAAATTGTGCAAGTTAATCAAACATGTTTATATTAAATAGAATTTGAGAGCAAAATCAAATATTCATTGTAAATACCTCCAAATCTAGTGTAATCGTGTTTTGAACCTTGGCTCCTGACCCCAAGAACACAGATCAGAAAAATTGATTTAAAACTACTGCTACCTTTAG